CTGTGGGACATCCTGGGTAGACACCAGTCTGTGGGACATTCTGGGTAGACAATAGTCTGTGGGACATCCTGGGTAGACACCAGTCTGTGTGACATCCTGGGTAGACACCAGTCTTTGTGACATCCTGGGTAGACACTAGTCTGTGTGACATCCTGGGTAGACACTAGTCTGTGGGACATCCTGGGTAGATACCAGTCTGTGTGACATCCTGGGTAGACACCAGTCTGTGGGACATCCTGGGTAGACACTAGTCTGTGTGACATCCTGGGTAGACACTAGTCTGTGTGACATCCTGAGTAGACACCAGTCTGTGGGACATCCTGGGTAGACACCAGTCTGTGGGACATTCTGGTTAGAGACTAGTCTGTGTGACGTCCCGGACAGATACTAATCTGTGACATAACTACATGGAACAATAAAACAAGCCGATGAACACTCACTTACATCTCTAATGTTACTGGACCAATAGGTGCACCCTCAGACACTGCTAGACCAATAATTACAAGGTAAAGATGAAACTAGAAACACAAAATCTGATAGTTTGGCCATGCACAAACGAAAATTCATAAATAATTTTTTTTTAAATCTATAAACATAACCATTTAAGAATCGGTTCGTTTCGTGTGTTGTTTCTCATCTTCCTTCTCTGTTATCCCCAGTGGGGCATAGGTCCCGAACACTAAGCAGCTAACAGACAGACAGATGTATAGTCAGAAAGTTGTATAGACAGACAGATGCATTGAAAAACAGACGCATAGACAGACAGATGCATTGAAAAGCAGAAGCATAGACAGACAGATGCATAGACAGACATATGTATAGACAGATATATGTATAGACAGACAGATGTATAGACATACAGATGCATAGACAGACAAATAGACAGGTGTATCTAGACTACAAGAAACCCACAAACAGCCACATGACAAGGATATCGTCTTCTTCTGTTCGCGTTCACCAGCAGGAAGTTCTGTTTGCTAGTTCCCTCTTGGACTTGTCTTGTTCCAGAACTTGAATTTTGCGTACACATCCATTTTACAGATCTGGCAAGCTTGTATGCAGACTGTTGGTTCCTCGCTGCTCAGGCAGATGTGTTGCGACTTCAGAAGAAAAAAAGGGTTGCCTATTATGACATGATTGTCAGGGAGGAAGTGGGTCTATTACCCCCCCCCCCCCCCCCCCCCACCAAAATGGTGCCCAGGAACCCACAGGCGGACAAAAAGATATAACCACTCCATCTCTGTGACCTGACAGTCGGCCCAATCTTCTTCCAGATATCGAAACTCCAGAGTATGAATCCAGAAGTGACGCCACGCTAGTCCTATTCCTCCTAGAGGCGTCCACATGTGTCCTGCTGATATTTTGGGTACTCTCCCTCCTGCTGGACCATCTGGTCATTGTGTGCAAGAGACAGTACACACAGGATGCACAGAAGAGGACACAGTTAAGGATACCCAATGTGCAGCGGAAAAGTATGTACGAGGAAATAAAGAAGCGCAGAGAGACAAAGGAGTTGGATGCAATACAAAGAAGCCTTACTGTGGCAACCCACAACAGAGCTCTGATGGAAAAGGCCCCACAGGAAACAATCCAGGAAGAGTCCAGTTCTCATTCCTCCGGTGAAACAAGTACCAGCACTAGTCCCTAACTGGAGAGTCCAGTTCTCATTCATCCGGTGAAACAAGTACCAGCACTAGTTCCTAACTGGAGAGTCCAGTTCTCATTCGTCAGGTGAAACAAGAACCGGCACTAGTTCCGAACTGGAGAGTCCAGTTCTCATTCGTCATGTGAAACAAGTACCAGCACTAGTCCCTAACTGGAGAGTCCAGTTTTCATTCGTCCGGTGAAACAAGTACCAGCACTAGTCCCTAACTGGAGAGTCCAGTTCTCATTCGTCAGGTGAAACAAGTACCGGCACTAGTCCCTAACTGGAGAGTCCAGTTCTCATTCATCCGGTGAAACAAGTACCAGCACTAGTTCCTAACTGGAGAGTCCAGTTCTCATTCGTCAGGTGAAACAAGAACCGGCACTAGTTCAGAACTGGAGAGTCCAGTTCTCATTCGTCCGGTGAAACAAGTACCGGCACTAGTCCCTAACTGGAGAGTCCAGTTCTCATTCGTCCGGTGAAACAAGTACCAGCACCAGTCCCTAACTGGAGAGTCCAGTTCTCATTCGTCCGGTGAAACAAGTACCAGCACTAGTCCCTAACTGTCAGATATGTTTGAAAATTGTAAATATATCTACTTACTCATCTACCGATCGATCCAGTGGCGCATGAGCTTTCGCCCTTTGGCCCAAAACTTACTCATCTACCTGTATATCTTCATCTACTTATTTATTTATTCTACATCTTCCCCTTGTGATCTTTATCTTCTTATTTACTTATTCTTCATCATCTTATTTACTTATTCTTTATCATCCTGGCTGTTGCCAGGGAACACGCAATATAGACTAAAGGTTGAATGCGGTTTCCAGGACCTCCCCACTGGGGATCCTCATCCGCATAGTGGCACTTTGTGTCACTGGGTGTTTATCGCTTGTGTGTGATGTCCTGGTGGGGTAAAATTTACTTGCTGACATCTTCTTATGCCAGTGCTTCCCAAACTTGTTGACTCATGCACTTAAATCTTTTTATGCCAGTGCTTCCCAAACTTGTTGACTCATGCACTTACATCTTCTTATGCCAGTGCTTCCCAAACTTGTTGACTCATGCACTTACATCTTCTTATGCCAGTACTTCCCAAACCTGTTGACTCATGCACTTACATCTTATGCCAGTGCTTCCCAAACTTGTTGACTCATGCACTTACATCTTCTTATGCCAGTGCTTCCCAAACTTGTTGACTCATGCACTTACATCTTCTTATGCCAGTGCTTCCCAAACTTGTTGACTCATGCACTTACATCTTCTTATGCCAGTGCTTCCCAAACTTGTTGACTCATGCACTTACATCTTCTTATGCCAGTGCTTCCCAAACTTGTTGACTCATGCAGCCCTTTCTATCTAAAATCAGTTTCATTTTGTGTGGGTTCTGGAGCCCTATACGGGGAGTGGGGGGAAGAGATCCCTTGTCCCTAAAATTATCTTTTACGACATGCTTTCTGGCTGTCTCCCCCCCCCCCCCCCCATGGGGCCCTGGAACTCTTTGGGAAGAACTGTTTAGATTGAAATGAACTTTGGTTATCTGTAAATATGTCTAAACATATTTAAATGTTACTGTTGTCTGTTAACTGTGAACAGTTTCACTGAACTACAGCAATAAACATTAAGTTGTACAGACTAATGTATATTTACTACCGGTACTTTATGTCAGGAGAATGAAGCTTGTCAAGCATTCATGTAAGACTGATCACTTTACAGCGACACCACCACTGACGCACATCATTATCATGTGCCACGCCTCCCCGTTTCACAATCTCACACGATCACACAAATCATGGATCAGGTCAGTGTCCTTGTCTTACCCCCTCCATGTAACCAAACCATCTGGGCATTTAACTCTTTGCCTTCCTCTTGCTCTCTTTCCATCAATCTTGTCAGCTGTTACCAAAGTTCTAGTACATTCCTTTTCATAACATGTCCACACACACACACACACACACAACGACTGACCGTTTATGTGCAACGGTGCTAATCAGTCTGCAACTTTCATCTTTTGTTTTTTACCCCTCTGTGATAACACATATACAACATAATTACACAGTGGCTAGGTGTACACGTAACAACTGTAATTGTCACGTACACTTTCCAACTGCAAAAGAAAATGTTCATTATTTTACTATTATTACTGTTTACTATTTATTACAAGTGGGCCACTGGTGTTTTTTGTCTCCCTTAACAGGTAAAGCTTGGTAGTATCATGGCTCCACGTGTGGGTTCTGGGACCCTATTGTGGGAGAAACAAGAATAGACCCACTGCCTCCCCAACATGCATGTCGTAGGGGTTGACTAATTGGGTTTCCTGAGAAGTCAGAGTGAGAGGCAAGGAACAAACAGTCTGCATACAAATAAGTCCGATCCGTAAAACGGACGTGCGGGCAACACTCAGATTCTGCCCAAAAAAGTCTAAATTTCAGAGGTGGATGAGCAATCAGAACTTTCCACCCGAGATTACAGCCAGTGAACGCACAAAATAAGAAGATTAACATAGCAAAAAGCTCACTGCATGCCTGCACCACTCAAAGGAACTGTAGTACACAAAAGCTACCAGTTACTAGCACTTTGATACTAGCGTGTACACAGTTGCTCAACAGCCAATCAATGAGTAGGAAAATATCACACAGTACCCTCTCCAGTGCAATTGTTACCTGCTACCGCTTACATGTGCGGATGGATCACACCTCTTCACAGTAATTACATTTTTAAAAAAATAATTTCACAACAAAATCCTCTGAAAACGTATTTATTTCACAAGATGACAGACACTGTACAAACTGCTGCTAGCAGATAATCCTGTTTGACTCTCATCTGGAGGTGTTAATCCTAGGGATAACAATCCTGGAGGGAATATATGACCACTGTCTGCAAGACATTAAATGTTAACCAGTTGGGGTTCCAACATGGCAGCAGACGGGTCTTGCTCCAGAACGGCTCTGTTCCTATACCAGCGGCAATCACACAAAATGTCCTTCCCTGTCCTAGTTGAAAACCAGGGAAAAAACTTGCCAGCCCCAGCAAAATTGTGATGCACATGCAAAGTAAAAATGCATTAGAAGCTGTCATATGTGCCAACACCAACGGTCCCACAGCAGAAACTGCAGGTCACTGTTGGCGCAAACAGCCAGTCACAAAAGCTGGAATTGCAACCACAACAGTAGACACCATTCTAAATGTAATCAGTCACCAATTATTTTAGTGCAGTCAGCAACAGGCCACTGGCACAAATTGAAAAAAAAAAAAACGTTCAACATGAAATGCTCAAACAGCAACCAGCTGGAAGCAGAAGCACAAATTCTCATCTCACCTGGGGGTCACTGCACAAGTTTTCTGTTTTCTGGTCTCACTGGGTTTGGTTTCTCTTTCCGTTTTGTTTCCGTCTGTGAAGTTTCTGGATTCCAGCTTCACTGTAGGCTTTTCTCTTTTTGTTCGGTGAACCTTCTTGTCCGTCAACTTTCACCTTGTTGTGTCGGAGGTCAGCAGCAAACAGTACCTGAAATAATTACAATACTTGTGTTCTGTTTGTTAACTGAGCTGTGTACAGCATGCTGAGGAACATGTTTTACAGAGCTGTGTAAAGTATTCTGGGTAATGTTTGTTTGGGAATGTGAATAGCATTCTGCGGTATATGTTTGTTAACGGAGCTGTGTACAGCATTCTAGGGAATATGTTTGTTAACAGAACTGCATATAGCATTCCGGGAAACATGTTTGTGTATAATACAGCATTCTGAGGAATATGTTTGTTAACATAACTGTACATAGTATTCTGGGAAATATGTTTGTTAACAGAGCTGTGTATAGCATAATGGAGAATATGTTTGTTAACAGGGCTGTGTATGGTATTCTGGGGAATGTTTGTTAACAACGCTACATATAGCAATCTGGGGAATATATTTGTTAACACAGCTGTATATAGTATTATGGAATATATGTTAGTTAAGAGGGCTGTGTATAGCATTCTGGGGGAATATGTTTGTTAACTTATATAGTCAACAACACTCAGGGGAAGGACAGAAAGGGGAAGCTGTGGTAATCTTTATTATCAAAAGTCTAAAGAAATCTGTAAAATATATATGTTAACAACTGTCTACAACACTCTTTAGATAAGTGTTTTTAACAACAGTCGACACCACTGTGGAGAAAACAGCTGTTAACAACAGTCAAAACCACTCTGGGGAAGATAGTTGTTAACAACTGTTTACACCATTCTGGGAATAATAGTTGTTAACAACAGTTTACACCCTTCTAGGGAAGACAGTTGTTAACAACAGTTTACACCCTTCTAGGGAAGACAGTTGTTAACAACAGTTTACACCCTTCTAGGGAAGACAGTTGTTAACAACAGTTTACACCCTTATAGAGGAGACAGTTGTTAACAACAGTTTACACCCTTCTAGGGAAGACAGTTGTTAACAACAGTTTACACCCTTCTAGGGAAGACAGTTGTTAACAACAGTTTACACCCTTCTAGGGAAGACAGTTGTTAACAACAGTTTACACCCTTATAGTGGAGACAGTTGTTAATAACAGTTTACACCCTTCTAGGGAAGACAGTTGTTAACAACAGTTTACACCCTTATAGAGAAGACAGTTGTTAACAACAGTTTACACCCTTATAGAGAAGACAGTTGTTAGTAATATTTACATGAAATGTCTAATCAGTTGTCTACGGAGGGGGTTGGAGGGAAAGAAAAGACAAGTGAAGATAACCCTCCCCCCTTTCCCCCCAAAAAAAAAATTTGAAAAAATTAAAGCAATTGCCAAAAGAATATAAAAATATATTTAAAAACTAGACTTACAGCCTGGGCCCAACCAGCATAAGAACCCCAGAGATCTCTGAAGAAGTCTCCTGTATAGAAGAAAAGAACAAAACAGAAAAGAGTTCTTCAGAAAACAACCTGAGACATATCTGACAATGTGTGTAATTCAGTCAGGTACCATCTACTCGATGAAGATTCAATGTAGTGGATCTACAACACCTGTCTCTTGTTCCGGTTGTATACTCAGACTGCTGTTTGCCGATCTCTGGATGTTGTCCTTCCATGTGTGCTGCTGTCTACCTTTTTCTTGCATGCCTATAACTTGTCCCTCCAAAGGCAGTTGGCATGGTTTCCAGGGCTACGCTCCATACAGCAGGTTTGAGTATACATAATATCTGCTAAACCTCTGGGCCAATATGGCAGATAGCTAGCTAACTGATCATGATCTGAAAGGTCACTTGTTGCAGATAGCAGGCTAACCAATCATGATCTGAAAAGTTAATTGTTGCAGAAAGAAGGCTAACCAATCATGATCTGAAAAGTTACTTGTTGTAGATAGCTAGCTAACTGATCATGATCTGAAAAGTTACTTGTTGCAGATAGCAGGCTAACCAATCATGATCTGAAAAGTTACTTGTTGCAGATAGCAGGCTAATCAATCATGATCTGAAAAGTTACTTGTTGTAGATAGCAGGCTAACCAATCATGATCTGAAAAGTTACTTGATGCATATAGCAGGCTAACCAATCATGATCTGAAAAGTTACTTGTTGTAGATAGCTAGCTAACTGATCATGATCTGAAAAGTTACTTGTTGCAGATAGCAGGCTAACCAATCATGATCTGAAAGGTTACTTGTTGTAGATAGCTAGCTAACTGATCATGATCTGAAAAGTTACTTGTTGCAGATAGCTAGCTAACTGATCATGATCTATAAAGTTACTTGTTGCAGATAGATGGCTAAATGATCATGATCTGAAAAGTTACTGCAGATAGCCTAAATCATGATCTGAAAATACTTGTTGCAGATAACTAGCTAACTGATCATGATCTTAAAGTTGTTGCAGATAGCTAGCTAAATGATCATGATCTGAAAAGTTACTTGCTGCAGATAGCTAGCTAACCGACCATGATCTGAAAAGTTACTTGTTGCAGATAACTAGCTAACTGATCATGATCTATAAAGTTACTTGTTGCAGATAGCTAGCTAACTGATCATGATCTATAAAGTTACTTGTTGCAGATAGATGGCTAAATGATCATGATCTGAAAAGTTACTTGCTGCAGATAGCTAGCTAACCGACCATGATCTGAAAAGTTACTTGTTGCAGATAACTAGCTAACTGATCATGATCTATAAAGTTACTTGTTGCAGATAGCTAGCTAAATGATCATGATCTGAAAAGTTACTTGCTGCAGATAGCTAGCTAACCGACCATGATCTGAAAAGTTACTTGTTGCAGATAACTAGCTAACTGATCATGATCTATAAAGTTACTTGTTGCAGATTAGCTAAATGATCATGATCTGAAAAGTTACTTGCTGCAGATAGCTAGCTAACCGACCATGATCTGAAAAGTTACTTGTTGCAGATAACTAGCTAACTGATCATGATCTATAAAGTTACTTGTTGCAGATAACTAGCTAACTGATCATGATCTAAAAAGTTACTTGTTGCAGATAGCTAGCTAAATGATCGTGATCTAAAAAGTTACTGGTTGCAGACAGCTGGCTAACTAACTAACGCTCTCTTTGTGACCCTTTGAAAATAAATTCATTCGTTCATTCTCTCTCTCTCTCTCTCTCACACACACACACATTCATACTTATTTCTATGCAGACTGCTGGTTCCTCGACTTTGAGGTAGATGCACTACCACTTTAGGGAAAACACCTCTAATTTTTCATATTTCACTACATTCTTTTTAGGGAGCTTGAGTCGCTCCCCCTTCCCTACATGAGTCCCCAGAACCAACATGGGACAATGAAATATGATTATGCAGGGAAGACTGTCAGACTCATGATGATGCTGTTGATGACAATGCAAAAAAAGACTATACCTATTTCTGTGTAGAGCTTCTCTGTCAAAGATTTAGCACCATGAAGCTTTGGCATGTAGTTTTTGGCAGTGAACTGCCAGACGTGTGTGTCTACGGGCAGAGCTTGTGGCTTGTCCAGCGACATGAGGCACACACAGTCTGCAACCTGAGCACAGAACAAAGGTGATTACACAACAGCAGTCATCTCATTATTTCAACTTGTAACTAACACAATGGACAATTACCCCAAGTTGTAACAAATATAATGGATAATTACTTCAACTTGTAAAAAACATAAAGGATAATTACCTCAAGATGTAACAACATAATGGATAATTAGCTCAACATGTAACAACATAATGGATAATTAGCTCAACACGTAACAACATAATGGATAAATAGCTCAACATGTAACAACATAATGGATATTTACTTCAACTGGTAAAAAACAAAGGATAATTACTTCAACATGTAACAACATAACAGTAATTAGCTCAACATGTAATAACATAATGGATAATTAGCTCAACATGTAACAAACATAAAGGATAATTAGCTCAACATGTAACAAACATAAAGGATAATTAGCTCAACATGTAACATACATAAAGGATAATTAGCTCAACATGTAACAAACAAAGGATAATTACCTCAACATGAAACAACATAAAGGATAATTACCTCAACATGAAACAACATAAAGGATAATTACTTCAACACGTAAAAAACATAAAGGATAATTACTTCAACTTGTAACAAACATAAAGGATAGTTAACTCAATATTTAACAAACAAAGGATAATTACCTCAACATGAAACAACATTATGGATAATTACCAATATGTAAAAACATAAAGGATAATCACCTCAACTTGTAACAAACATAAAAATAAAGGATAATTACTTCAACTTGTAACAAACATAAAGGATAATTACCTCAACATGTAACAAACAAACAATATTTACCTCAGCATGTAACAAACACAAAGAATAATTACCTCCATGTGTTAGAAACGTAATGGATAGTTACCTCAACATGTAACAAACAATGTTTATTCATCTGATTACCTTAGCCCCCACGCCTAACAAAGTCAGTAGCTCCGTTTTGGCCTGCAGGTACGGACTCTGCCTTAGTGAATCCAGCCAGCCCTGGCCTTTGTCCTGGGTGACATGCCTGGCAATGCTTGCAATGAACTTGGCTCGGTACCCGAACCCTAGCTCTCTCAAATGGGACTCCACATGATCCCCACAGAGATCAGACAAGTGGGGGAAAGTATAATAAGCCACTCCATCAACCTGAAAGATGATGGCAAAAGCAGTAGACAATCTATATACTTGTTTTCAGTATCAAAGACCACTTCTTCTTCTTTGATCCTTCTGTCAGAAAGCCTTATTTAAGAAAGCCAGTAGCCTTCTATTGTGCAGTCTAAATATCCTTAAATACCACAAAGCTTTGCTTTCACTGAAGTTAGAACAAGGCAGATGGCCTCTATTTTAGCAACATACATACTATATTGTTGAAGAACCTGCTCAGCATTTTCAGGCGCCAAGCTGCAGAAATACATCTCTGTGTTTCTGATACCGAAAAACATAGGACCATTGATTTGTAATTTTTACAGTTTTTCTTTGTGTTTACTGGCTGTAAGCTCTGGCGGGGTGTCCTGGGATGATTTTTTGTTCTTCGACTCTGGTAATTCTGTTCTACAGATGTGGCTTATCTGTATGCAGACTGTTGGTTCCTTGCCTCTCAAACAAAGAGGCACCTCTTGCCCTCTGACTTCGAAAGAAACATGAATCCCATCCATGCTGTCCAGGGCCCTAGCAGGGAACATGTTTCTAGGATGCCCGGGGAGAATGGTAAATAGGTCTTGACCAGTAGGATCCCAGGTCCTGATCGACAACCACTAGAGGTTCAGCAACACTGCATCCCACAGCTGTAGGACCTGAGCAAACCTGTGCCATTCTGATACAAAGCAGATAAAGAAAACTCAAAACAAAACAGCACAGAAATGGAAAACAAATGCAGTGGTAATTCTACTAGGACGTCTGAGAAAAACATAAAGAGGAATATAACTGAGACAGGTCAAAGGTGACAGGTCATTAGAGTCCAGAAATGATATGAAAAGAACTGCTTAGAGAAGAACTGTTTAGTGGTACTCTGCTTCTCCTCATGACCTGCCCAATTTACTGCCATCTTCCTTTTTATTTTAACTCTGGATACAAGCAGCTGTCCACACACTTTAGATTCATTAGATTCCAGAAATGATATGACAAGAACTGCTTAGAGAAGAACTGTTTAGTGGTACTCTGCTTCTCCTCATGACCTGCCCAATTTACTACCATCTTCCTTTTTATTTTAACTCTGGATACAAGCCGCTGTCCACACAATTTAGATTCATTAGATTCCAAGAATGATATGAAAAGAACTGCTTAGAGAAGAACTGTTTAGAACTGTTTAGGTACTCTGCTTCTCCTCATGACCTTACTACCATCCCAATTTACTACCATCAATTTACATTAGATTCCAGAAATGATATGAAAAGAAACTGCTTAGAGAAGAACTGTTTAGTGGTACTCTGCTTTTTTATTTTAACTCTGGATACAAGCGGCTGTCCACACAATTTTCTGAATTTCTTCCTCTTTCTTGAATTCAGCAATTTTCCTAGGCATTGGTTTTGGAATGCTTAGAAATTTTGTTAAATGTATTTATTGGTTCTCTTTCACTGGCATATGTGAACACCCCGCCCCCGCCCCCTCCCCCCAACGCTTTTCCATACGCTAAGTCACACAATAGTACCTTGGTATACGCTCACTTTGGTATGCGTTCGACTTGGTATACCTCCTATCTAAACGTAAAAACTTTTGCTTCAAATACCTATGACCTTTGTCTGGAATATGACCCTCGTTCTAGAATTTGTACGAGTCAAAACTACTCACGGCACAACATGCCATCTTTGTTTACCTCTCTCAAGACAAAGCCATGCATAAATATCAATGACGTTTCAGAGAAGCATCACCCCAACAAAGCCTAAACAAGTCCTAACAGCAATATCTTCAATGACCAGACAATGTCACATTTCCAAAACAGCCTGAGGAGATGGCAGAAACAAAGTAGCGAAAAGAGACAGTTTTGTAATCACTTTATATAACCCTATTTGTGTATAATATTCAAATAACAATAACCCCCACACACACCCCCCCCCCCCTTTCCATTCCCCCTTACCCGAACAGATTAATCATTCTGCTTGTAATTCTTTTGGAAACATTTGTTTTATGCATGTACTATTTGGTACATGTCCAGGGATGAGAAAAGAATTGAGTATATATACCGAGGCACCACCAATGTATTTCAACAGATCAGCTCACACTGCTTGAATGATAAGGTCAATATCCCCCAGGTTGTGGCTACTAGAACTGCTGCTGGCACCAAATGCTTCAAGTTTGGTTTAAAAATCCCCCAGCTCTGTGGGCGGTGAGCATGCAGAAACTGGCTGCAGGGCAAAGACAGAAGATATGCCAGTCAACTCCTTCTGAATACAGACAGCATGAAGATAAAGAGAAAGCTGACTGATGCATTGAACAATAACAAGTCACAAGCATCTCAATGGGTGGAAGGCGGGGTAGCATAAAGGCTAGATGGTCCCCAGCCCACCTGAAAGTCTTGGTATGAAATCAAAGCTAAGAGTATCATGGAAGAGGACTGAAATAACATACAATAAAAACAGAGATGGCTGTGGAGAAACCACCAGAGAAGAAGATTCTTGACAGTATTTTGTCACAGCATGGAGAGGTCTCAGCACATCAGCTGATACATCCTGTTGAGGTTAGGAGGTTGTGGAAAGGCATGATGGCCCACAACAGTCGGCCAGGCACTTGATGATATTACTTTGCCTGCATAACCCAACATGACACATGATGATGCTGATACAGTACTTACTGATGTAATCAGATTCCCATAATACGTGCATAGCTTCTCCACCATGCTGGATATGCGAGAGATGTGGTTATTGGACGAACACACAAAACTCAGCAGACACTCGGTCGGGTCCTGGCGAAGAAGACGAACCCCTTGGAAATTCTTGGCTACCTTTTGGAAGTGAGGATCTTTGGAGGACCAATGCTGGTACAAGTGGTCAAGGTCCACTGATGTCTGGAAGTAATCTTCTAGCAGTTTGTGGTGAAGGTCATCTTTGCCGGGCTCATCAACATCTCCTGTCTTCATGATAGGGTCGACTGGGATTTGCTGAGCTGTAAAGTTTGTTTCTGCAATCTCTGCAGCTGAAGAGTGTGTTTCCAAAATCTTGCTAGTTGTGCTCTTTCTCAAGCGTAAAGTTTTGTCATCTGAAGCTTCCGCTTGAAGTAGGTCAGTTTCATTTTTACCCCTTTCATTCTGCTTAAGTGAAATGTGTTGAATTGTAGAGCTTGTCTCTACAACCTTTTTGGTTGCCCTCTTTCTCAAACATAAAGTCTTAGCTGAAGCTTCGCCACTGGGTACAACTGTGTTCTCAGTACCCCATTTATTCTCAACTGCGGTCATTCTTTCAACAACCCGTTTACTTTTCCTAGAACCATTTTTGTGTTTCTCCTGTGGCTGTGATTTATCATCATTTATTTCCTTGGCTTGCTCCTCATTACATGTGACCATTTCCATTCCTTTTTCTCGGAATTTGCTGCATTCTTTTACTCTTATTCTTCCATCTTGAGAATTGTTACCAGTGAATACCTTTAATCCTTCAGCTCGCAGTTTGTCACATTGTAGAATCTTCGCTTCCTCACTATCCTCAAAGCATTCTAATTTAATCTCTTGTCCATAATTTCCATTCAAGATTGATGTAAAAGATTTCACTTCTGAAGTTTTTTGTGCAGATTCAGATGCCAGTTGTACTTCTGAACTTTCAATTTCTTGCTTTACTTTTGAATTTACAGCTCTAACTGGCAACTCAACAGCTGGAAAGTTGTTACTTTCCTTGATATCCGGGAATCTAAGACTGGAGTTAGACGCCTGATTCAACAGAGTCTCTGAGCCATACACATGATAAAGTATTGCTTCTTCTGTTTGTCTTAACCTCCAAACTAAGTCAGACATGACTCCAACCCACTCGCCGGAACCATTTTTCTTCCATCTGTCGAAACAAAGGATTACATCAGAGTAAATGACACAGCTGCAAATGAGCATTGAAAAAATAAAACACATACACACTAAATCAGTTTAAGAGACTGCCATAAAAGTGCCCTTGTATTTACAACTTTTGTGGTGTATATTGGGGGGAGGGTGACGTCTTTGAGAATGGACTGTGCAAGTTAGGATTTTATTTTTGCTCCTGACAGAAAAACTCTTAACCTTATCAGAGATTCAAACCCAGGTCTCCTACATGAGAGCCATTGTTCTTATTCTTATTTTTCTTTCATTCACTTGAAATAGATTATCTGTATCTGCAATGTTGTCTCTAGTTTGAACTTCAGTGTCTTTTTTATTTCACTCAGTGACCCGTAAGTTTGACTTCCACGGGTGTTTCTCTTGGCCAAAAGTTGCCTTGATATGTTGTATCTGGGGCAGCACTGGAGGACGTGATCTGCTGTTGTTCTTATCCATTCAGTCAATCACTCCTCTAAACTGCCATCACTACCTGTAGTTACCAATTGTGTGGTACAGGCAGGGAAGGGAGATTTGGGGTGGGGGGGTCTTTGAGCTTGAGGATTTAGGGCCGAGTAGCTAGTGCAGTCAGGGGTCTTTGAGCTTGAGGATTTAGGGTCGAGTAGCTGGTGCAGTCAGGGGGTCTTTGAGCTTGAAGATTTAGGGTCAAGTAGCTGGTGCAGTCAGGGGGTCTTTGAGCTTGAGGATTTAGGGTCGAGTAGCTAGTGCAGTCAGGGGGTCTTTGAGCTTGAGGATTTAGGGTTGAGTAGCTAGTGCAGTCAGGGGGTCTTTGAGCTTGAGGATTTAGGGCCGAGTAGCTAGTGCAGTCAGGGGGTCTTTGAGCTTGAGGATTTAGGGTCGAGTAGCTAGTGCAGTCAGGGGGTCTTTGAACTTGAGAATTTAGGGTTGAGTAGCTAGTGCAGTCAGGGGGTCTTTGAGCTTGAGAATTTAGGGTTGAGTAGCTAGTGCAGATAGGGGGTCTTTGAGCTTGAGGATTTAGGGTTGAGTAGCTAGTGCAGTCAGGGGGTCTTTGAGCATGAGAATTTAGGGTTGAGTAGCTAGTGCAGTCAGGGGGTCTTTGAGCTTGAGAATTTAGGGTCGAGTAGCTAGTGCAGACAGGGGTCTTTGAGCTTGAGGATTTAGGGTCGAGTAGCTAGTGCAGTCAGGGGGGTCTTTGAGCTTAAGGATTTAGGGTCGAGTAGCTAGTGCAGTCAGGGGGTCTTTGAGCTTGAGGATTTAGGGCCGAGTGGCTGGTGCAGTCAGAGGGTCTTTGAGCTTGATGATTTAGGGTCGAGTAGCTGGTGCAGTCAGAGGGTCTTTGAGCTTGAGGATTTAGGGTCGAGTAGCTGGTGCAGTCAGGGGGTCTTTGAGCTTGAGGATTTAGGGTCGAGTAGCTAGTGCAGTCAGGGGGTCTTGGAGCTTGAGGATTTAGGGCCGAGTGGCTAGTGCAGTCAGGGGGTCTTTGAGCTTAAGGATTTAGGGTCGAGTAGCTAGTGCACTCAGGGAGTCTTTGAGCTTGAAGATTTAGGGTCGAGTAGCTAGTGCACTCAGGGGGTCTTTGAGCTTGAAGATTTAGGGTCGAGTAGCTAGTGCAGTCAGCGGGGTCTTTGAGCTTGAGGATTTAGGGTCGAGTAGCTAGTGCACTCAGGGGGTCTTTGAGCTTGAAGATTTAGGGTCGAGTAGCTAGTGTAGTCAGGGGGTGTTTGAGCTTAAGGATTTAGGGTCAAGTAGCTAGTGCAGTCAGGGGGTCTTTGAGCTTGAGGATTTAGGGTCGAGTAGCTAGTGCAGTCAGGGGGTCTTTGAGCTTGAGGATTTAGGGTCGAGTAGCTGGTGCAGTAAGAGGGTCTTTGAGCTTGAGGATTTAGGGTCGAGTGGCTAGTGCAGTCAGGGGGTATTTGATCTTGATGCTTTAGGGTCGAGTAGCTAGTGCAGTCAGGGGGTCTTTGAGCTTGAGGATTTAGGGTCGAGTGGCTAGTGCAGTCAGGGGGGTGTTTGAGCTTGAGGATTTAGGGTCGAGTAGCTAGTGCAGTCAGGGGGTCTTTGAGCTTGAGGATTTAGGGTCGAGTAGCTAGTGCAGTCAGGGGGTGTTTGAGCTTAAGGATTTAGGGTCGAGTGGCTAGTGTAGTCAGAGGGTCTTTGAGCTTAAGGATTTAGGGTTGAGTGGCTAGTGCAGTCAGGGGGTCTTTGAGCTAAAGGATTTAGGGTCGAGTGACTAGTGCAGTCAGGGGGTCTTTGAACTTGAGGATTGAGGGTCGAGTAACTGGCACAGTCGCCACACACAGTGCAGGTCAGAATTTTTATTTTGTTCTCCAACAGACAAAAAAAAAAAAATTTGTAATTGTACCGAGGAACAGGATCTGGGTTTCCTGTATGACAGTCTAGCAGTGCATTATTAACAATTCAGATGTAAGAGACTATCAACTTATAGCTTGATTCTGGGGATATCCTCTTCGAGAGAGAAAAATTATAAAGTGATCAGACAAACTGGACGCAGACAGGCTGTGTTTTCTGACATTTGTTATGAGAAAAGAATGGACTTGAGGATGTGGTCGCTGGTAAGATTGATGGTAATAAAAACAGAGCAAGGGGAAGGCAAAGAGATAAATAACCGGATGACTTATCTTTTATGGATAGGATGAGTCAAGAAAACTGACCTGATCCATGATTGTGGTGATTGTGTTAGAAGGAAAAACATGACAGCTGACATTTACTGGCACAGCACATGATGATGTTCATGATTGTAGGAGATGATTGGCACATTTCCGTTCCTGCTTAATGAATGAAGGCTGCATAATACACCAAGTGTCCCTGCTAAACACCTGGGAATATACTACCAAACACCAGGGAATATACTACCAAACACCAGGGAATATACTTCCAAACACCAGGGAATATACTACCAAACACCAGGGAATCTACTACCAAACACCAGGGAATATACTACCAAACACCAGGGAATATACTTCCAAACACCTGGGAATATACTTCCAAACATCTGGGAATATACTACCAAACACCTGGGAATATACTACCAAACATCTGGGAATATACTTCCAAACATCTGGGAATATACTACCAAACACCTGGGAATATACTGCCAAACACCTGGGAATATACTACCAAACACCTGGGAATATACTGCCAAACACCTGGGAATATACTACCAAACACCTGGGAATATACTACCAAACACCTGGGAATATACTACCAAACACCTGGGAATATACTGCCAAACACCTGGGAATATACTACCAAACACCTGGGAATATACTGCCAAACACCTGGGAATATACTACCAAACACCTGGGAATATACTACCAAACACCCGGGAATATACTACCAAACACCTGGGAATATACTTCCAAACACCCGGGAATATACTACCAAACACCTGGGAATATACTTCCAAACACCTGGGAATATACTACCAAACACCTGGGAATATACTACCAAACATCTGGGAATATACTACCAAACACCTGGGAATATACTACTAAACACCTGGGAATATACTACCAAACACCCGGGAATATACTACTGAAGAACTGCCCCCTACAGCAAAGTCAGAAAAGACAAGGCCAGAGGGAAAAGGCATCCAGGTCAAACTTTAGGGAACTTTTGGAGACTTGCTGCTGATGTGCCGGTTCATGGAGGCAACACAAGCGATAACCCGAAACTGATCGCAAAGAAGACGCTCACAAGTTCCTGCTTGTTGAAATGTACATAGTTGTAGTATAGCCAGATGAATGTATGCTGTTGGGGAGTTTCGTTTCACCAGGACATAAACTGCATCAACTCCAAGTGATGCTGGTTTCAGGGCCTTATCTGGGGGAGGGGGGCAGAGCCACTTCCATCCTAATGAGCATATCCTACAAGCTGACTAATTATGCATTTAGGGGTGTTGCAGTTACTCAGCTGTCAACGTCAGTGCATCAACATCAGGGCACTCTTCCGAATACCGGTCCCCAGTAATTCAGTGTTAAAAAAATCCCATTCAGGGCCTCAAGAAGTCATATATTTAAACATCTGGAACAGGAACACTACGAACCATGCTTCGCAGTATTATATAATTTCATTACAACCAAACTTTCTAGTCTCTTGTAGTACAGTCGTAGGTATACCGCTTGTCACGATTCCCAGCCAGGTGATTATTTTTTTTTTTTCCTAAAAGGGTGGTTGGCGCGTCGTGTTGTGGTTTACAGCCAGGCTGCAATATCTGCGCTTTTCGCCACAATACACCCGATTTCAGCAGTCGTAATTAGTCACCTTTTACAACAGGCTTTTAAGGTGGCAGTGGATTTTTTTTTTTTCTTCTTAAACTTGTGACCCTTGAACCCACAAGGAGAGTCACAGTTAATGTAAACAAAAGATCAAAAACTATCCCCCCCCCCCCCAATTGTTTTGATGCATTGAAAACTACTCCTACCCACGATGCTTCAACAATGGATCAAAATCTATTCCTCCTCATGATATATTCCTCCTTCAATGGATTGAAAACGGCTCTCCTTGCAATAACGGTCGCTAGTTGGATGGCGACAGCCGCTTCGTCAGAGTTCAGTCCCCTGGCTGCAGTGCAATTATGGAGTGCAATAGAGGAAAGGAAACAAATGACATAATTAGGGCTAGGGGTAGGGTTAGGATTTGGGTTAGGGTTTGGGTTAATGTTGAACTCAATTTGGTTTGTGATTCGTGCCTTGTCCACTTCGTAATTGCACTGCAGCCAGGGGACTGAACTCCGACTAAATGGCCATCGCCGTCCAAGTAGCGACCGTTATTGCAAGGAGAACCGAAAACTATTTCTCACCTCGCCGCTTCATGTCTAAACATTGCTATCCATTGACTCATTGAGCAATAACAGCAGAAGTGGAAACTGACGATGATGGTCAAAATGTTTTAACTACATAACCTCTTGAGGCTCTCACAGTGATGTTTTTAGCATTGAATAATTTGGGACTGGTATTCGGCGAGTAAGAGTGCCCAACATCAGGCTCAGCTCAGCAAGTGGCTGCCGCATCGCAGGCAGGACTGGGTTCACTGAGAACGCATAGTGTGCAATGATGTCCACTGTGATAATGTAAAATAACGAAGTAACTTGCAGTCAGTTCTCATAGTCCAGTGTGGGGGGTGGACTGCGACAAAAATAACTATATATACTGGCAGTACTCTGCATAAGTGAACTTTTGAAACACGGTACTGAACGAACTACCCACTCTGACTGAAGAAACCACACCTAATCTCACCTGAAAGACTGCCCTGCTGCCAAAACCGTGTCGAGGCATAGCTGCGATCGAGAACACATAAACTTTCTCCACACTGAACCAGTTGTTGTCGACATTTCTCCAGGTCTCTCCCGCGACTTCTGCACGACAGTTGTTCAGAGTGATCTCCCATAGCAAGGATGAGAAGAACACAGTTTTGTCCAATTACATATTAGTCCAAACCTATGATCTGCTGCAATAAGCATATTTTTTTTCTTTTTCAGCATTCCGAGCCCTTCTTTCTTTCTTTCTTTCTTTCTTTCTTTCTTTCTTTCTTTCTTTCTTTCTTTCTTTCTTTCTTTCTTTCTTTCTTTCTTTCTTTCTTTCTTTCTTTCTTTCTTTCTTTCTTTCTTTCTTTCTTTCTTTCTTTCTTTCTTTCTTTCTTTTCTTTCTTTCTTTCTTTCTTTCTTTCTTTCTTTCTTTCTTTCTTTCTTTCTTTCTTTCTTTCTTTCTTTCTTTCTTTCTTTCTTTCTTTCTTTTGTCTTAAATAATAGATTTCCAGCAAATAATAATGTGGGCTACTTATTGCATTGATCTTGCTACACAAAATGATGATGATGATGATGAGGATTTTTTAAAAAGACATCACATGAAACGGCTCATTGATAGTGCATGAGCACCGTGGAGGCACACATAGATCACTATGGTCTGAGGAGTATGGCGCTGCGAGAAGTTACCAGGGAATACGGTCGACGATCAACACTCAAGGGAAAGGCGTACAATCGGGCAGTTTATGGTACCATCGGAATGTGGACTCTTAGCTTGCTGCTGAAGATGGAGACGGGGCGCTTATGGTAGTGTCCCCATTGCTGGGACGTCGATTCCTAATTCAGCATTCAACATTTAACTTTTTACGGGGAAAATCCGAAAGGTAATGTTCAAGATAGTGCAAAAGTAAGAGAAGAAAGGAAACAACATCGCTATGTGGGTGCAGACATCACGTGTGGTCTTAACCCCCTCTGAGACAGTCAACAGTCGTCGGATGTGTGCTTCTAGCAACACCAGCACGAGAGGAAGAGGTAGACACGGTTTTCGGTTCATTACATGATTGGTCTACCTCGGTCTGATGTTTGGGATAAGTCATAAGCTGTCTGCCGTTATGCGTCGCTGTTTAGTTAGTTAGTTAGTTAGTTAGTTAGTTAGTTAGTTAGTTAGTTAGTTAGTTAGTTAGTTAGTTAGTTAGTTAGTTAGTTAGTTAGTTAGTTAGTTAGTTAGTTAGTTAGTTAGTTAGTTAGTTAGTTAGTTAGTTAGTTAGTTAGTTAGTTAGTTAGTTAGTTAGTTAGTTAGTTAGTTAGTTAGTTAGTTAGTTAGTTAGTTAGTTAGTTAGTTAGTTAGTTAGTTAGTTAGTTAGTTAGTTAGTTAGTTAGTTAGTTAGTTGGCTTATCATCATTGCACTCCGAACATGTCCATAGGTGCTCAGATCCTCCCCTCAGTATGAACCCCAACGTCCGATGGCTAATAGTACCAGTTCTATGTTGATTAACAAGTCTTCTGGAGTGTCTGGTGTGCGTCTCGTTTTTTGCTGTGCCGATCTTAATTCCCAAGTCTGCCATTCTTACGAGTGATGTGGATTCACTACCACCAAAGTCCTCTATCCTTCCCATTTCTCTGAGGGCATTGATAATATCAGCATGATCCATAGGCTGACCGTCGGTAGTGATAGCGGATGCAGCCAAACTGTCAGCTCTTTCATTTCCATCGACGCCTGCGTGTCCCGGAACAAAAATAAAGGTGCCTCCACGCACAGTGGACTTCTGTAATGATTCAAGCCATTGTCTTCGCACTGAACCTGCCTGAACCCTCCGGATCATACTCATTGAATCACTGAGTATACATGCGGCGGTGTATTTTTGTGTTTCAAGCCAGGCAAGCGCTTGTGTCACTGCCATCACCTCCATCGTCATGCTGCTGGTTGTCACGGAGAAGCCGTTGGCTTCTTTGACTGTTCTGCCCGCTGAGCGTGCTGTAAATGCCCATGCGCTTCTTCTTTGGCGTATGACGGATCCGTCTGTATAGATTAGTGCATCTGCTTCGTCTGAATTTTCACCGATGAGAGCGTTGACCTCTGCATTAACAGCAACAGGATTCTCTTCTCTACATCGCCTGTTGAGTGTGACAATACAGGAAAATGTACAAGTAAACGCCTGAGGCACAGGTATCCATTCTGCACCAGGTATGATGTCGGTTAGGCTGCATATTTGCCTAATGACATCTTCTGCCCGACATAGCCACGATTTTCCCCTCTCCAGTCTGTCGCCCTTTTCACTAAAAAGCGCTTGATGCAGTGGGTGTTTCTTATCGGCACATATTTTAGGGTGTGGCTGAGCCCTCCACATCCAGATCCTTTGGTTCATTGTTGGAAAGTCAAGTAGATACCTCATTGCTCCACAGGATGTGTCTCTTGTACATCCCAAAATAATGCGCATGGCTTCATTTTGCACCTTTTCGAGTGGTTCAATCTGGGTAGCACTGACAGTGAGGATGGCCAGAGCGTATTCAATGGGGTAAAGGACCAGACTGTAGAATAGAAGTATTAGTAGCCTTTGCTCAATATTGGAAGCAGCCATAATCCTCATTGCAGATAGACCTTTGTGTGCTTTTGTTATCACACGGTCAACGTGTTCCCTGAATGACAAGCTGCGATCGAACCTCACCCCGAGAAACGTCATAACGTTGGTTCTGATCAATACATTTTCATGCATTTTCACTTCTGGTGAGTCCGACTTGACAATGTTCAAAGAGAACCATGACACTGATGCCTTCGAAAGATTGACATAGTCATTGGAACCATCACACCAAGTGGCAATTCGATTGAGTTCTTTGTGTATAGTGCTGGCGATCTCCTGTCTATCACGCCCTCGTCGATAAATCAAAATGTCATCAGCAAATGACAAAGTCCTTCCCTTTCCATTCAACTGCTGCTCAGTGATCATCTTATTATTATTATTTATTATTATTATTATTATTATTATTATTATTATTATTATTATTATTATTATTATTATTATTATTATTTTATAGAGCACCGGAATGCCTCGCAGCGTCAGGGGATGAGGAGATCTCTCGAACGGACCCTTCTCTTCTATTCTTAAGTAATACTTTTCAGTGTCTCTTATTTATACGTGGTCCATTATCTGCATGGTCGCCCTCTGGATCTGCATCCAACCGCTGCATCGGTGTACAATTCTCTCTGTGCCGCCCTGTCTGTGCTAGTATTGTTGCATGGCCAAACCATTTGATTTGTTGTTTTCCGATATTGTTCAGTGCTGGTTCTGTGCCGACTCTTCGCCTGATCTCACCGTTACGAAAAATGTAATGCCTATAAAAGTTTGAAGACTTAAAATGTTCATCATCATCAGGTGCCTTGTCGACTGGCGTGGGCGATCATGCCTCTTCACAATCCGCGATCTCCTGCAGCATGTATTAGTTCGTGTGCTGACACACCTACATGCCATGCAACAAGACTGTCAAGAATCTTCTCACGCTGTTTTTCTCTATCCCTCCGTCCACATATCTTTCCAGTTGTCGCAATATGTTTTATTTCGCCTTTTTTCATAACATGGCCAAAAATAATTACTTTCCCCTTCTGATGTCTCTGATAAGTTGTCTTTGGGCTCCCGCTTCTTTCAAAACCTCTCGATGCCTCTTTTTTTCCTGTCTAGCGTCTAGTGTATTTTGAGCATTCTTCTGTAAAACCACATCTCTGAGGCGTAAAGAAATTGTTTGGCCTGCCTACCGATTGTCCATGAAATGTTCAGGAAATGTTCAGCAAAATTTAAAGTTTTGCGTGACCCATGTATCAGTGAGGATAATATATTGTTTGCGTCTAATGCCTGATGTAAAAACATGTTATTAATTCTTTTTCTCTTATCGAGAATCTCGTCCTTTGCTGCCAAGTTGTCTGGCGGAAATAAAATAAAAAATAAGATCAGCTGCGAAAGGTTTCAGTGAACTACCCTTAAACCAGGCAGAGAGACAGAGATGGAAAGAGAGAAACTCCTCCCCCCAGTTGACAAAGCTCGTGAGGCACCAGTGCGACATATTTCCGGTCTGGACGTCTGGGAGACCAGGTCTCGCGTGTTTTCAGGGACGTCGTCGTCTACAATCAGGAAGCCGTTGGAGCAGAAGGTTCCGTCCCCGTACACGGTGGCTCAGGCCAATCGCCACTACAAGAGGGTCTATCCCAACCGGGTGTATACTCCCTGGTACAGGAGGTGGGTGGTGTGTGTGGTTGTGAGGGAAAGTGGTGGTATGTGTGGTTGTGGGTGTGGTCTGTGTGGTGGTGGGTGTGGTCTGTATGGTTGTGGGTGGGGTCTGTGTGGCTGTGGGTGGGTCCTGTGTTGGTGTGGGTAGTCTGTATGGTTGTGGGTGGGGTTTGTGTGGCCGTGGGTGGGTCCTGTGTTGGTGTGGGTAGTCTGTATGGTTGTGGGTGAGGTTTGTGTGGTTGTGGATAGGTCCTGAGTTGGTGTGGGTGGTCTGTATGGTTGTGGGTGAGGTTTGTGTGGTTGTGGATAGGTCCTGAGTTGGTGTGGGTGGTCTGTATGGTTGTGGGTGGGGTCATGTTGTTGTGGGTGGTCTGTGTTGGTGTGGGTGGCCTCTATGGTTGCGAGTGGTCTCTGGTTGCAGGAGTAGGATGTTTGTTTCTATGGGATTAATTTGATTTTGTGTATCTTTCACTGTATGGTAACTATTTTTTTCCATGTGCCATATTTTTCCATATTTAGATAACTGTTATTGTGGTTCAGAATATGTTTGATTCAAGGAATCTATCAAGAACTGACATCACTCTACTCAGGATATTCCCACACGTGCACCGTCCCCTTCTTCAGTAACCAACGAAGAGTCAGTAGGAACAGTTACAACCTGATTAAAAGTCCGCCTTTGTTTCCCCTTCACTGTTGAATATCTTTCAGACTCTCTACTCTCTCGCCGTTGAAATAGTCTTTCAGTGTATGGGTACTTTGTCTGTACTGTATTAATATTTGCTTCAGTTTTAGGATAACTAATGTTTCATTAACGATAAAAAAAAATTTTTTTAGCGACAGCTATTCTTTTAAGTAACTTTTGTTTCATTTCT